GGCGGGCGTACCAGGTGCGGCAAGGGGTGGCCAGCGCGTCGGGGTCCAGGCCGTGGTCGAGCAGCGTCGCGAGACACGCCAGCCGGCTGGCGCGGGGCTTCACCTCGCCCGGACTGCGGTGGAGGAAGGCCCGGAGCGGGTCTGCAGCGGAGTCGTGGAGCAGGTACTCGAGAACGTCCCCGTCCATCTCGTGCACCGAGGGCCGCACGTGCCCGGTGCGGAGGAGGAAGTATAGGCAGGAAAAGTTGGGCGCGAGCATGGCTGCGTGGCGGAGCAGCCAAGGGCGGGATGCGGCGTTCGTGGTGTCCTCCGTCTTCATGGACAGTTGCTCCGACAGGCTGCGTGTATGGGGCGGGAGGCAGGAGCGTATGTCGGCGCCGTGCGCGAGCAGAGCCTCGAGAATAACAGTGTCGTTCCGCTGACAAGCGAGAACCAACAACGGCAGGCCGGGATCATGCGGCCCGGCTTGGGTCCCATGGGTCCCGGCTCTCATATTGGGATCCAATCCATAGGACAAGAGCAACTGCGCGACTCTGGCACTTCCGGTTGAAAACAGCCGATAAAGATCGCTCCGGTCAATGGCACCTAGATCAGCGCCCATGTGCAAGGCCAACGCGACCCCCTCTGCGGACAGGTGCTTGAAGCTTTCCCGCAAGCACTTGCTGACCCAGACACGGTCCTGGGAAATCTCCAGTACCCGAAACGCAACCTTTGTGTCCGCAGCATGTAGAGCGTGCGAGATGAGCCGGCGCATTAGGGTGGGGTTTGTAACCGCGGCCGGGTTGTGGAAGAGCCACTTGTCCAGCGTGCCGAGCAGGCCGTTCTTGGCGGCCCAGACAGGTACGTCAAAGGACCAAGAGTACCACGTGAGGGGATTATACTGCTTGTAGAGATGCGCCTCGAGGATCGAGGTATAGGTCTTCTTGCTGCAGCGAAGAAAGGCGCCGACGTCCTTTGACGAGAGGTGGCGTGCTATCATGAGCTGGAGCTCTGGGGGCAGTTGTAGAAGCGACATGGGGGCGCGGAGCGACGGGCTGACCATGGGCAGAATGGCGTGGTGCAGCTTGTTTGAGTCGGGCATTTGGGAAGTTGATGATGAAGAAGAAGAATGGAAGCAACGCTCGAGTCGTCGTTGACGAAGAAGAATGAACCAACGCTTCCGAAGTTGCTGAGCAGCGTCATCACACTCTTAAAGGGCCCCGGGGTCAGGCAGGAACAGCGCCTTGAGGAGGTCATGCAGTAACACGGACGAGCTTGCCATATGAGGTGGGCGATTACACCAAGGCCGTTGCCGCCGTCGGCCAGAAGCCATCGTCAAAAGTTACACAGAAGCCATGTATCTGTTGCCGCGCGCAGATACGCGAAGTCCTTGGTTACAATTGCTGCACTCCCCAAGTCCCAACGAATGAACATGGTTCGGTGACATGTGGACTCGGAATGATCACATGACTTATTCTTTCATAAACCTGGGGTTGGCTGTTCATCAAGCGTGGCACAGTCGTTGTTCTAGGAGAACAACAAGACAGTGAGGAGCGCATTCTATCCGCCACTCTTTGCCGAATATACTCTGAGCCATACGTTGACAACGTATAAAAATCACTTTCAAAAATCCTCGTCTTGAGTAGCTATCAGGCGCCCACGTCTCTCTTCTCTCATGCGTTCGGGGAAGCAGCGCCGTACTGTTGACGCGGGCTTGCAAGAGGCCATTGTTTCTCCACCGTTTGACGCTAGCATCTAGCTTTCGTTACGAAATGGTCTTTTTCGTTGGACATTTTGCAGAAGCTACGCCAAGAATTGATGTAGTAGTTTGAATGTCACCGAGGTTGCCGGGCCCAACACGGAGAAATGTGACTTTTGGAGCAAGGGCGCTTCGCCAGTGTACCACGAAAGGCATGAAAACGTACCTGCTGGGCAAATTCAAACCCCCGCGCACACTTTGCGTCGCACAATAGACAATAGGGCCAACGTTTTTGTTAAACAAAGGAGAGGAAAAAAAGCAGGAACTGAACTAGTTTCTCTACCGCGCGCATCCATTGCCAGACAATCGTGGGCAAGACGAGACCTGGAAGATATCAAGCTTGCCCTGGGTCGGTATTTTCTTCGGTACATAGCTTGCGTGAGGAGTACGTAGACGAATTCAAAGGCTTCGGTTACTCATCGCAGACCACAATGGTGCCGCGCGGACGCAAAGGTAATTCAGCGTGTCATCAGCTGGAGGGCCAACGCTGCTGCCTAAACAGTCATCCTTGTATTTCCTCCTTACTTGGCTAATTCTTTTATGGCTATTTTTGATAGCATTCATAGAAGAATCTTGACTTGCTTCACCTTCATCACTCTTCGCCTTCTTCCGCTGTCTGTTTCGATGGGCACCACGCCCAAGGCAGCCGACATGACGGCTCTACAGCGTTGCTCGATTTCCGACAGTGCGCGGCCGTCGATCTGGCCGCCGGGGGCACCATGGGCACAGGAGACAAGCAGTTCTTCATCCCGCATCTCGCGCGTATACCAGTCGTTCAAGGTGGGATATGTCCGGGCGGGACGACATGTCTTGGAACGATGCGGGATGCGTGATGTCGACTCGTTTCTGTCCGACTATGAAGAATACGCGCAAGCCTTGTTGCAGCGGAAAATGAACATCTACTTGGAACACGGTTGGGTAACTATTTTGAGAGTCAAATGCAGCCGCACATGTCGAAGGCTCAGCTGAAGTCTCAGCTCAAGTCTCAGTCGAAAGTAAAGCTGCATCTCCGAGGTGCATCGGTGACGTCATATCATGCTCCCGCGTAGACTGCTTGACTATGTAGCTATAAGTGAATACGAACTTGGGGAATTCAAACCCCGGCTCTTTGACTGTCTGTGCCAACTATCAGGTAGAGAATCATCAGCCATATCCGCCTCTGCCATGCTTACCTTGGCTGCTCCGAGATGCATTGTCTGATACCTCCCCACTCACATCCGTCTGGACCGAGCTTTGGTTGGCAGGGCTGGCAGGAACTATTGAAGGGGATTGGATACAATCAATAATGAATAATTTATTCTTGATTAGCGGCAGGCACCCACTTCTTTGGGGCATCGTATAAGGGGATGCAAACTGGTGGTGGAATAGGGCGGAACTTCGCTGCTCGGCCCAATGTCTTCCGATAGGCCGGGCAGCCATACCGTCCGGGCACCTGTCGTCTAGACCTTGGTTCGAATTGTGAGGAGAAATTGGTATAAGCTGTGATGCGTGCTGGGGAGTATGTTTTGCTATGAGGGTTGATCATTATTTCTCGAGACCACAGGTAACAGCGTGCGCTGCAGACTTGGTCCTTGTCGAGGTGGCGAGGCGAATGACCAGAAAGCCCCATCAAAATAACGGTTTAAGTTCAGCGGACCATTATCCGTGTTTATTGCCTTGGAAAGCATCCTAGGGCGGAGGAGCCGTGCCCCAGCTAGATCGCCGACAGATACGAGAAAATGACGGCAGGATACGTGCAGCCCTGCAGTCAGCTGTGATGCAGTCAGCTGTGAAAAAATTCCGTTTATAAAATACCAATCGCGTTCAAGAGGGTGGCCTATAAATAAACTGCCCAGTCCGCCTTCTGAGATGAGCAACACAACCCAACTTCCTTGACCACAATGAGAGCAGCAGCCATCTTGACCCTCGGGGCCGGCCTCGCCGCCGTCTCCGCCGCCGACTGCGCGGCACCCGGCGCCTACGACGGCCAGGGCCGGTACTCGTGCAACCCGGCCCACCAGTATCCCAACGGCCAGCGCTGCACGACCGTCGACGGCTGCCCTCTGCTGGTCGACGCCAGCGGCCAGCCTATTGTCAAGAGCACCGGCACGAGCAGCACCGTCGCCGGCGCCCAGCCGACCTCGACGTGCGTCGCCCCGGCGCCTACGATAGCCAGGGCCGGTACTCATGCAC